GTCCCTCTATTGACAGTAATATCTAATAACTAGTACCGAATATTCCAAGTCTTGCTAAGCTATGGATCAGAAATGCCAGAGAGGTGTGAGGAATGCCAAGGACCCGGTCCTATGTTTGGGCTAGCACTCTGGTCACCCATATCACCAGTTCTGAGGTCCTAGCTGCTGACCGACAGCAACTCATTTTGCATCCCAGGTTTTGGAAGTTGCCCAGACACCTTGACCTGCACCACGGGAAGCCCGGAGCAGCTCCTTCATCACCCTGCAGCTTACACATGCTGCTATCTCCATCTAATTAAAAATACTAAACTCCAACAACTTTCTAAAGAAACCTGACAATGGCAGTATCCAATCCCTGTTTTCTTCCACATAAATCAAGCTCTATCCATGGAAATGGAAGCTACTACCTGCTACACAAAAGTGTTGTRTTTCTTTACAGTTTCTGAACAGCACTACTGTAACTCATAGTTACAGTGTGTTTTGTGAAAAATTGATATATATGGAGAATTTCAGAGGGTGTGTATGTACTATTTCTCTTCATCCTTTTACTTTATATCCAGTATATATCAGTAAGGGGAGAACACTCCGCTGAATTGGCAATCAATTAGCAGTCATAATTCAAGTTAAAAGGAACACTTTCAGTCCCTCTAACTACATAAATAAAGTTACTCACATTMTGAATGTTTTGTAGTGAATTCTCAGGACATTTTATTTTTGCCAGCAACTTCCAAATAGTTGAAAATGGCAGTATACAAAAAATACAGACTGGACACTTTATGTAATGCATAACCAGAGGCTCCTAAATTCATTACAGAATTTTGACAAGAGCAATATTTACCATTTTTTACTTCCTTTTCTCCTCTAAATGTATTAATGTATTAACCGCTCTGATTTTGCAACTTGCATGTTGTAAAAAATTTTGCAACTTTTTTTTTTTCCCTCCAGTTTCCATCTTTCCTCAATAGCTGGAGAAGATCTTGAGGAAAATCCCAGTGTAGTGCAGCAGAGGTTTTACTGCCTCCCTAGAGACATTGTATGAGATATACAGACAGGTCACATCTGGACTGTAAATTGAAATGGGCAGGAATGCCCRTTTTGAGGAAATGCCAGCTTTGAGGAAACCCATGGGTATCTTGGGGAAGAAAAGAAAATCTGTTACAGCACAGCAGCACCCGAAAGAGCTGCACTATACTGGAATGGTTCATCTTGGCCACAGATCAGGATCTTGAGGCCAGACGTGCAAGCAAGTTTCTTTCTGGAAACACTGCATCCTTCCACATACTTCTCTTGGCTTTATTCCCATTTGGTTACTTTGCAAATAAATTGTGGCATGTATTTTATGTTCACGGTTTTAGAGGGCCGGAGTRGGAAACAAACAAGTGTTTAACCTARTCACTATTCAAATCACTGGGATACCAGGACTAGCAATCTTTCCAAGTAGCTTACATAGATTTTTTTTTTCCATAGAACCATTATTTATCTTCTTTTACATTCCTAACTGCCTAATTTGCTGCTTTTAAGGTCATAGTTTAAGCAAAGAGGAGCTAAGAGTTTTGTCTTCCTGCATTATCTGGAGACTGTGTCCAGTTCTGGGCTCCCCAGGACAAGAGTGATGTGGAGCTGCTGGAGAGAGTCCAGCGCAGGGCTACCAGGATGATCAGGGGCCTGGAACATCTGCCCTATGAGCAAAGGCTGAGAGAGCTGGGCCTGTTCAGCCTGGAGAAGAGGAGGCTGAGGGGGGACCTGATCAGCGTGTATAAATACCTCAAGGGAGGCAGTGAGGAGGAGGGGGGCGGCTTCTTTTCAGTGGTGGACAGTGATAGGACTAGAGGAAACRGCCACAAGCTGAGGCACCAAAAGTTCCACAGGAACTTGAGGAAAAATCTCTTAACAGTGAGGGTGACAGAGCCCTGGCACAGGCTGCCCAGAGAGGTTGTGGAGTCTCCTCCTCTGGAGATCTTCAAACCCGCCTGGATGCAGCCCTGTGCCMCGTGCTCTAGGTGACCCTGCGTGTGCAGGGGGGTTGGACTAGGTGGTCTCTGTAAGTTCCTTCCACCCTTAAGGATTCGATGATTCTACATAATAAGACCAAGTGGCAGAAGCACTAGTTAAAACCACTCAGCTTCCTTTATACAACTTTATTTTCACCAAGCACCTTTTCTCATGGGAATGGCTTAAACGCACTGTTTTTTGTATCTGCTTTGGTGTGCAAGTGCTCTGAGAAGGAAGCACAAAGRACCTCTCCTGCTTCCACACTATCCAAACTAGGTATCTGTGTGACCCAAACACAGGCAGTACTAAAAGCAAAAATTCCCAGCATCTTGTCATCCTGCGATGTTGCACATATACTTCCCTGCTCCTCCTGGGACTCTACCTATTTCTGATTACTCATAYTTTTAATAAGCTATATTCAGGTTAAAATAGTCAATACTTACTAGAATATGTGATTTAAATTAACTCTGTRTCTTGCAATGAACACATATGTGCCATAGAATCTAAAGATAGATCTAAAATCTAAAGGTCATTATTCCCAGGCTCTTCAGATACGTTTGTCTGACACTATGAATGTTTTCACTACTATTCAATACGGGAGGCAAAGCTGTAGCACATAAATAACAAGGCATAAAAGGAAATCTCTGATCTTTACATCAAAGTCTCCTGAACAGAAAAGGCCCTTTTTACTGTCATGAATGACAGTGAAAGTCATACAGCCTCACTTTTATATATRTAAGACCATTGATGACATGCTGAAGAATATGATGTTAGTTAAATGGGAAATAAATTACATGAAAGTTAATATATATATTTAAATAGGTCTGTTATCTATGACCCCCTCAAAAGGTTTTCTTTTTCTTATTTCAGAAGTTACAGTTCTGTAAGAAATGTCTTCCTGCATAGAGCCAAATCCTAACACATGAGATATAAACTCGGCGTTTCTCGGGTTTAAGTGTATTCAGCTCACATCCACACCTGGTAGCCATTTTATCTTTGTACTACCTCAAGAATCTTGGATAAGATTTTAATCTTATGGGAAGGCTGAAAAACAAGATCAAGGCAAATAAATATTATCTTACAAAAAAAAAAAAGAAAAAAGAAAAAAAAAAGCTATATGAAGTAGTCATGAGTGCTTGAGCATTGCCTCCAAGCTTTCTTCATTAGGATGACGTATTAATAAAAGCCCACAAAGAAAAATGATTGAATAAGAAATCAACATTTAAGGTTTTTAGGCTACCGTAAAAGAAAAATCAAATGAATTATTTGCATGCCTGGTAGATTGGAGGTTCCCAAGCAATGTTTTGAAAAGCCTTGGATGAATGAAGGTGAAACTGCCCATGACATTTCAGAACACATTTGTGAGTAAGCACCAAGTCACCAGGACCCAACAGCACTCACCAAGAGTCCAATTGTAAAGTAAAATTGCTTTCCCACAAGCTACAGAGCATGAAACAGACTAGTGATGCCTCCAGAGTTCAAGTCTGTGAAGAAATCAGCAGCTTACAGTGATTCAGAAGTAACATGAGTCATTAATTTTATTTTCAATAAGTATTCAGATAGGTATTTCTATACTTAGTATAGCTACCCTGGAGTAGAAAAGGCTTCTAATACTCTCCAGAGCATTTGTAATTAAAAACATCTCAAAGATCTGTACTTCAGCATTAATTGGGTTGACAAAAAGCACAACAGCCAAAACTAGTACTCATGGCAGAGACTGCACAAGGTCTCAGTTGTGATGAGACCTGAGGGGACAAGAGAGCAGATGGAAGTTCATGCCATTTACTGCATCACTAAGGGACAATAAATGCAAAATTAATTCTAAGGTAGTTTCTATTTTCTTCAGAAGTTCCGGGGAGTAGAAGTGCAGCTCACAAAAAACACCAGACCAAGCTACCAACTATGAACGAACTTATAATTTAAGAACAGAAATGAACATTTAGAAATCTATCCATGTTGAACACCCGTGCTCAGAAGCAAAGCAAGAGTTGAAATATCATTATAGGGTTACACAGATCACTTGCAAAGTCATGTTCACATGCATACAAACCAAATAGGCTAAAACTTGAACCTTGAGACCAGAAAGGACAGAAGTCTAAAAAAAATGTCTGACAAGACTTGTGGAAAGGTGATTCACTGATTCTTGAAAAGAGAGCAACATTGTTAGTCTGCAGGTTTAATATGAAGCGAATAGACCATAAATGTTCTTCCCAGCCGAGAACAAAATGTTTACAGGAGGCTCAGAGAAAATAATGTTGAGAAGACCACTGGCAGCTATTAACAGTTGCAGCAGTGGCTCTGTCTTTCTCTGTCCCAAACCAGGTCTSACCATAACAGCTCACCAGTCAATACTCACTGCTTGGCAGGGTTTTGAGGAAAATCAATGACCAGGAACAGGCTTCTAAGCAAGGTGGAGCTTTAATCTGATCAAGAACTCTTCAGAATATTTGGCCCTGGAACCCATGCATGTTTATTATCTCACAGTGTACACAGTGGGGTGCACCTGACCATCTCTGTAGAAACATTAGCTAGCAATAGAACACATGTGAATTACTAGTTCAAGCTTTTTATGCGAGTCAGACTCCCTGGCCTATTGAGATCTTGATCGTTACTTTTGGAATATTTAGACATAAGCAATTGGAAAGAGCACGCAGGCTTTTCACTTATCAGTAACYTTATTCTTCAAGGATCTTTCAGTAATGGTACTTTGCATGGAATACTGCAACTATCTACAGAGGAAAGGCAATGGTACTCTTGAAAARAGCAAGGAATGCTGTATGTTTAATGTTTAATCCACCATTCAAAGTAAAACAAGATGAAGATTATGTCATTACAGCAGTGTAYGGAGACCCCAATAAATTTAAAAGGCTTATGAATTTCATACATGTCAAAAGAATATTAATACATGGCAATAAAAGAGTTCACACGTAAGTGTTCATGAAAGACTTCCAACAAGAAAATGCCCAGGTAAGAAAACTAAGGAAAAAACCACACATACACAKGGTGCCGGATAGCAATTCATGTTTTATTTTAGTTAATACAGACTAGAAAAGTTTTATTATGAAATCTCAGTTCAACCAAATGGCTAGATACTTACCTAAACATGAACAGTGAAGCTGTGTAGTTTTAGSCATTACTTGTCTCAAACCCTTTTTCAAGGTAGGATATTGCAGAGCACATGGGAAGTTACCCAAGATGGTATCAGTTATCAACCACTCACCACATCATGATGTTTTACACCAAGTCCCAGTTCCTTGCATATGCTGGTTTCCTGTAAATAAAAATACTAATTTCAAAATAATATATTTATGTATCTCACACAAAAAAAGGTTTCTGACCAAAGATCAACCTATATGAGCATCATACATTAAGTCATTAGATCCATTCCGCGGTACAAATTAGTACAAGCCAGAACTTTCCTTTCCCTACCCTTTAGTAAGGATTCTGTTTCAGAACTAGACAGATTTGAATCAATTGATTCACTGACTGTTCTGCCTCATATTTAAAATTAAGTATTCCTCAGACATTTTCCAATTTACATTTGCTAAAWCCATATAGCTTTATAGCAAGTAAAGCCTAATTTAAACTTCTTTAGATATAGAGGGCATCTACTAAACCCTAACATTTTCTTCACACCACATACCTGCAGACAGATCAAATTACAAGCAGCTCTTCCCTCAAGTTGTTTATCCCAGATCACAAACTTTTCACAAGATTCATGAAGTGTATTTACACAGTTGACAAGCACCAACACACTTTAGCTCTAGAAAAAATAAGATTAGCATAAAGTTAAGATTAAATGCTAACCTGATGGCAATGCAAAATATACATGAAAACTGCTCTGAAGGCAGTAGACTTGACACAAAAACTTCAAAGTTCAGTAGCTTTATGAAAGTGTTTCTCCCAACAGGATCCAAAGTAGAGTTGCAACCTCACCTCTGGGTTTAAGAGAGAATTTTTTTACCCCTCTGTACTGGCCACTTAAGACACTATCAGACTTAAGAGGGCAAAGCAAAAAAGGGGAGCAGATTAACACTATTTAACTAAAATGTACTGTATTAGTGKTTTTTTTTTGAAAATAGTGTGGTGATTTACCAAAAAAATAGTAAGTTGCCATTATCAAAGTTCAAAATGGTCTATAACTGTTGTTCCACTGGAGCCCACTTACCCTCTGGCATAAGGCATTTTCATTCTGAGGAAATTGAACATTGCTTATAGTTTAGGCGTGATTCTTCATCTTAGTCTGATTCTTCACATGTTCAACATTTTAAATATTAAGTCACTGGGAAACCTAAACAGCATAAAAAAAGACAAGGGCATTATAAGACATACTGAATTCCAGGTATTTCCAACCATGACTGCGCAAAGCTTCTGAAACCACAAATGAGAAAGTCATTATTAAACCCAAGATCTGGAGCAAAAGCTAGGAAATGGAAAARGCCCTTTTCAAACCAGCCATTTCACATGGACAACATTGTTTTCAAGTGTGCCACAAATACGAAACTTGTATCATTTTAGTCTCTATGCAACTGTGAAAGAACCTTTAAGTATCTAGACTTGACAGGAACTTTACAATGTAATAGCGAGCTTCTGCCTAATAATCTATACACAGTAACGAATTGCTCAGCCACCTCAAGCAAGAGGAAACAAAAAATCCCAGAGTTGAGTCTATTTGGACTCGAGTACCCGCAGTGTTCAACGCTCTGAACACCCAAGGTTATTAGAGGAGAACTTGCGAGCGAGATCCTGTATCTTTATTGATGCGGCCCATGGGGGAAGGGAAGCATGGTTTCCAAGTGCACCAGGGTATCCATAGCGCGGGACTGAGCAGGCGAGCAGGGCAGGCYCCGTCGCTGGGCACGCTGCCCACAGAGGAGGCTCCCAGGGGCACGGCCGCCCTGCCGCCCGCCCGCCTGGCGCCGCGTGTGCCTCGCGACAGGCTGCAGGGCGGAGAGGGGGGCTCCGCGCTGGGTTTTTGCGAGGCAAGGGCGCTCTATCCCCCTGTGTTGACTGCTCGGGGCACGGGCAGCCTCCGAGAGGGCAAGTGTGAGGGGACGGCCGGTGCCCGCGGCGCCCCCGCGCCCGCCCGCCCCGCCCCGCCGCTTACCGCAGCGCCGCCGCAAAGAGGCCGCGCGGCCCCGCGCCGCGCCTTAAGTACCCGCGCGCCGCTCCCGGCAGCCCCCGCGCGCGCGGCCGTTGGAGGGGCGGAGCCCGCGCGGCAGCCCCGCCGCCCATTGGTGGGGCTGGCGCACGTGACGCGGGCGCGCGCTCCCCCCGCCCCCCTCGCGGCCGTTAGGAGGGCGCTGGGCAGTGGCGCCCGGGGCAGACGGGCGGTGGGGAGGCTGCGGGGCGGGAGGTCGGGCCGGGTCGGCCGGACACCCTCGCGGAGGGCGTCTGGGAGCTGAGGCTGCCTTAGGGACCGCTTCCTGCTTTAGCCGAGGGTGTAGGCGTGGTCAGAGCGCGGTACGATGGGCTGTTATGTCTGTTATGGCCCAGCAGTGAGGGCTCAGGCTGWAAAGGAGCAAAGGTATCCATGCTGAGGTGTAGCACCTCTGTAGTGGCTTTAAGGAGCGAAGCGCTGGTGATCTCTGTGCAAACGCCATCCAAAGCCTGCTTTGGGAGGCTTAGGGCGTGTCTTTAAGGATAGCGTGGTAAGCCCAGGCCCAGCCGGCCTGTTGGCACATGCAGCTTGGCCTGGAGTGTGGCTGAGCACGGTGGAAGTACCTGGAGCAGCCTTTGGTGCAGGGCCTGAGCCTGTGCTCGCACCTCTAGGTGTGAGGGCTGTGCTCCCAGCCCTGCTGGGGGGTGCTGCCTGACTGCAGATACTGCTAAGAGGTGTTAGGGTGAGCACAAACGCGTTGGCATGTGCTGGGAATCTGCTAGCAGCACACACACTGTAACGTCACATGCACAGAGCAGAGCACAGCGTCTCGCTTCCCATGGGGTTGTGAATTCATCTGCGGTCCCCGCTGTGCAYGGAGGAGGATGTGTTGCTGGTAATTGATGCCAACAGTGGCAACGCTGTTGCAGGTACAGTCCCTGCGGTAATGTGCATATTGTGAGTCCCGCAGGATTCAAAGGCTGTCTGCTGGCTGCCCCTGAGTCMCTCCGGGAGTTTGCAGAGCTGCCTCGCTTTGCCTTGCTTCAYGTGGGATTCTCTGCAGCGAAGGCTGCAGAAGGTTGAAGTGACTTTTGCCTGTACCTTTTCAAGTACCTTCAAGTCTCTTTTCAAGTATTTTCTACTTTCCCGCTACCTTGAAGTTTCAAGCAGTGCTGATAAATGTTAAGGTCAGTTTCTTTTCCATTAGGTAAACTGGCATCACTGTGCCTAGCAAAACAGTAAGCAGATAAATGTTCTTTTTAAGGTTAGATAAAATCAGGCTTTTTTGTTTTCACATTGACACTCTTCAATATATGGATCTATATGGAACACTTCTGGGCTTTTTTTTGAGGGGGTAGTTTTTTATTGTTTTATGTTTTTTGTTGTTGTTTGTTTGCTTGTGTTTTGGTTCATAGAGTCATAGCTTCAACAGGAATAACACAGAAGTTCTCAACCTTGCTTGTCCCTTTCCAGACTTTACCTGGAGAATAAAACCCTGTCCTAGCGAGGGTGAGATATGTATTTGAGACYATGAGCAGGAAGCAATCTCCTTCTCCCTGAGCAGATGTAATAACCGCTAAGTTTTTGTGTATAAGACTAGGCAGATCTACCATTTGGATCTTTTTTTATGAAGGGAAAGAGCACTGATAACTTCTGTCTGATCAGACCTCTCGGTGGGCTCTGACGCTGCCTGCCACACTGGGTACTTTGGGAGCTTGAGGGAAAGTACTTGTGTTGGTAAGTGTACTGTAAGTGTAGCTTAGCTGGAACCTCACACTGCAGTGGCCTTTCCTCCTTATGCATCAAATGTAACAAAGCTGGGTTTTAAATAAAACTGCTAATTTAATAAAAATATAATTTCATTAATCTATGCCACAATTTACATAAAATGAAAAGACTGCTTGAAATTCACGCTGAAAATAGACCAAGTGCCACTTGCAGCCTGTCTACTTTCAAAATATCCATTGTRTTTTGTTCTCAGAATATGTTAGTTAGAGCCTGTAGAATAGAGCAAAAATAATAAATACAAAACAAACAAAAAACTCTGGAGAAGAGGAGGATAACACAGAATTRTTTTTTTCTTTCCAGAGGCAGAAATAACAATACACTTCTGCAAGCAACTTAAGTTTTCAGGTATTTTTGCTCACAGAGGCTTTTCTTGTTTGGTAAATTCTTGACTTCTATGACTAAGGGTTTTTGTTTTATTTTGTGTTTGTTTTTCCCCCAAGGTGATACCTGCTGATTAGATTTTACATAGTATTTTTTTCCCAAAATTTTTTGTAAGTATGTTTTTCATAGGTAACAGAAAAGCCAGTAAAATTCACTAGTAAACTTCCATGCTAAACAAGGTACCAGATGGTAAAGAGGGCATACTGCAAGCTTCTACCTTATAGAGATGAGGGAATCATTTGAACTGAGCAGTATCAGTGAAGATCAATATTAAATAAACCTGTAAAGCTGTAGCTTAATATGCAATTCTGTTACTATCCCTGTTCAAAGCTCCTAATTGATATCAGGAATACAATTTTATGAAACATAATCAAGTAGGAAGAAAAAAAGGCAAGAGTAAGATGCTATGAGATAATTTAGGTTATTACTGAGCATCAAACTGGCTGTAAAGGCCAAAACAGCCCGTTCATAGACCTGTTTAATGGTTACAACCAGAAGAGGAAAAAAAAAAAGAAAAAAAAACCCAAACTAAGAATCTCTTTCATCTGTTCAGCTACCGTTTGGAGTATTAGACAACAATATAAGTGTATTCTGCCTTTTGGTTTTCAAATATGACACTTAACTGCAAAAAAAAAAAAAAAAAAAAAAAAAAAAAANCCAGATGCTATGACTGTATTTTGCCTAAAAGTAGCAATTTCTGAGGAGAAGGAAATGAGGAGGGAAAAAAAGTGTGTTCCTTCTCTGCCAACTAATATAGTGTCTATAGCAAGTGAGCTAGTCTAGATAAAGAGGGAAAATCACTGCAGAGTTTCATCCTCTGTGCTTGGTATTCAGGAGGAGATAGCTAACTTGCTAGCTCTCACTTGCTAAGACTGTAAAGTGAAGAAAAAGTATACACATATTTTAAATCAAGAAAAATGACTTGGATCATTTGAAAAAGATGGRTAGATGCTGATGGGTAAAGTTAATACTCTCTAAAAGAAGACTAGTGTTTTCACAGGTTTTTGGCCCATGTAAACTCCCCAGTTATTTTTATTTATGTATTTATTTTTGTAAATCACCGTCAATTTTTCATGGTCTGCAGCTGCTTTCCTCACTRGATGTAAATACAGGAGGTTCCATGCGTTTACTATGAACCAGGAATTATGGCCTCTCTGCTCAGCTACAGTTTGGGATTTTACATTACATTAAAGCTCCCAATCTGCAGCTTTGCAGTAGATGCCAAGCTTCATGGAAAATATCCGTTGGTAAAATCAGAGAGGGATTAGCATAGGATTTATTACTGTCTTCCCTGTTTCGTGGCTTATTCCCATAGGAAAGCACAATTGTTTTAACTTTTAAATAGGCCCTGCTTACCCGAGTTGGTATTACTTTGAGAGAACTAAGAATAGAGTCCAGAGAGCTGATCTCAGAACTATTTCTCTGCTGAAACTAACGATGGACTATGCTAAAAATGGATGGCCTTATGTAGACAGAAAAAGGTCAAATAGATTTGGTCTCATATTTATAAATATATATATTTATATATAAAATATAATGTAATTGTTAGTTTGTGGAAAAATAGAGTATCAGATATCTTTCTATTTCAAGAATAAAACTTCTACACTTCAGGAAGCAATACTTCGTATTGCTAAAATTTCATCTCAACTGAAATAAAAATTAGCAATTATAACCTCAGTATTCTGATATATGACTTTTTAGACTTTTTCTGCTTTTATCATATGTATATTTTTTGTCCTGACAGACATACTGATCACCTTAATTGATCATAAATAATGTGATAATCACAATATGAAGTTTCCAAAATTATAAACACACTTTTAGTACTAATAAAGTAATTCAGATATTTGAGGGGTTTTTTAAGTTCTTACAGTACTTTCATTTTAAGTGCCTCCTACATTTTTCTTTTCAGGTTCTTTTAAACCTGAAAATATATCCTAAATTTGATGCTGTTCCAAACTCTTGTTTAGCATAATTGACTGATGGTCACCCATTTCTGGGCCCTAGTTTATTAGAATAAAATGTCATGAATCCTCAGTGGAATTCTCTAAGATTCCTCTGGAGGAAATGCAGTACCCTCCTTGTATTACAGAGTAAGTATGTACTCGAATCCCAGCTTTGCTCCTAACTTTCCATTTTAGCTTTGGGCAAGTCACTAAATTTCTGCTGCCTCTTTTCTTGCTTTGTAAAATAGGCTAATATTAACCTGCCACCCAGTAATTTGATAAGGTGGAGTGAATGTTGCAGAGTACTCTGAGAACTTCAGATGGAAAATGTTATTGAAGTCCAAAGCGCTGTTTGCCAAGGAGGWTATTTACTATAGGTGCTTATTTTATGTAGTGAAATAAAAGTGTTGGAAGTATATAACCAGATGACAAGGACTGATCTAAAAGTAAATGCAGGAGACATTTTTTTGACCTTTCAACAGAAATTATATAAGCACTCTTAGGTTATAAATAGCTCTTTGTTTCCCTTCTCTTTGTCTAACACTGAAAAGAAACACAGGGTTAGTTGTTTGTTATGAAGAGATAGGGTAATGCTTTAGACTGGAAACAATTGTTCACTGTTCTTTATTTATACAGTTCCTATAGTGGTAGGAACTAGTATTTATTACTTTTCTTAGCACTTTATCTTCAAAAAGCTGCAGAAATAAAAKTTCTAGGTCTGAAAATAATGACATCAAAAAAGAAAAGAAAAAAAAAAAAAAAAGGAAAGAAAACACACACATTTCAAGCTTGAAAGTTCCTTTCCCCTTTCCTGGTTCGGTCCATAACTGAAGAACAAAAAGGTCAGTGCTATACTTATTGTTACACTGTGCATAAAAAACTGTGCATTATTTTCTGTATTTATCATTAATCCACAAAAATAAGACATCAAATATGTACACCCTTAAATGGAATGCTCTGTATAAGCTTTAGGAAAATGACATTGAAATCTCCTGATGTATGYATGCATATCTATATATGTGCATGTATATGTATGTGTATATCTCTATGCACCTTAGATTTCCAAATATGGCTATTTTCAACAATGGCCATTTCCTTGCACAATCAGTAATTTGCTTAGCTAGTAACAATTTTGTTAACAGAAATGCTTAGTAAACACAAGCCCCTTGAAGTCTTCTGCTGTAGCCAGGTAATTAGGATCARCAAGAAAGCAAAAGTATGAAAACGATGCTTACCTTTCCTTACATTTCTTTTTGTTCTCCTTCTTGGTATGTTTTCTTTGGGTACTGTACTATGGGAACAATACCTTCACATTACAATATATGTGAGGTAAATTGCTTTATTAGTTACCACATTTTGCTGCTTTTGATTTTTAATGACCAGTCAAAACCATTCATTTGCTTTGTAGTTTTTTCACAGGGAGCAAGTAGGATCCATTGCAATAAATTGGAATAAATGAGGTGCAGCAAACAATGCAGAATTAGGTTGCCTGGATAAAAAGGCGTTTGTTTAAGAGAGAGCCATGGGGCAGTGTTGTCATTCTCCACAGGCTACTTGGAAATGCACTGGAGGCCGAGTCAGGCCCTGGGTGCTTCAGAACTGAGTCTGGGGGTGGCCAATGCTGAAATGTCATCTCTGCTTTAACTCCTGTTTCCCTTCACTGTGTTGGGAAGACATGATGTCACTCATAGCTCAGCCCTTGGGGGTTAAGCAAGTTAACCAGAGGGAGTCGAATTTGTGCATAACATAAGACCGGGAGYGCAGCAGAAGGACACAAAGCGTTTCCTGTGCTCAGCGTTGCGTTCAGGGCTCTGTTACCCCCTGAGCTTGCCAGCGCGGGGGCGAGCGCTTCCCGGCGGGTGGGCGAGCAGGTTCGCGGCGCGGCTGCCCCGTGCCCCGCGGGCGGCGGCCGGGCCCGGGAGCGCCCGCGCCTCGGCACCTGTGCGGGGCCGCCCGCCCGCCGCCGCCGCCGAGGAGGAGGAGGAGGATGGGGGGAGGAAGGGGGAGATTAGCGCGGGCGGCTGGCGCAGAGGCGGCTCCGGCGGGAGCCGGGCCCGGCGGCCGCGCTGCTGAGGCGGCCGCGGGAGGCGGGCGGCTCCTTCCTGCCCCGGCTGCCCGCGCTCTTCCCTCCTCCCGCCTTTATCCCGGAGCGGGAGCCGCCGCCTTCCTGCGCGCTTCCCACCATGAGCGCGGCCGTTTTCACCTTGTAAAGATGGCGGTGCGGGATCGCTGCAACCTTTAGACTAATGACTGTCAGAAACATCGCCTCCATCTGTAATATGGTGAGTGCCGCGGCGGGCCCGGCCGGCGGCTCCCCGCGCCCGGGGGCCGCCGCATCCCGGCCCCGGGAAGCCGCGCCGGCCCTGCCGGGGAGGCGGCTCCGCCGGGTCCCCAGGAGTTTTCCCGGAGCAGCGCCGGGATGCGCGGCCGGGCCCGGCTCGCACGGGTTGAGCCGGAGTCTGCCCTTCCTCCCCCTGCCCTAATAACGTGGCGAGGGAGAACCGCAAAGCCGGGCTCTGAGCCCCATCCGCGTTCACTCCGTGGCCCTCCCTTAGCGACCGGGGCAGCGCCCTGTGGCCCGGAGCGACCTGGGTTGCCCGGACAATGAGGACAGTGGTCCGGAGCTGTGGCTTGTTTGGGTGCTTTTGGAGCCAAGTGCTCGGTACCTGTTCTAGGAAATCTCTGCTTTAGACTTAACGTCGGGGGTTGTCTTGCACTGCATGGCGCTTGGAGGACTGTGCTTTGGGAAGTGCTCTTGGAGCACTTGGCTTGCTCGAATCACAGACTGGGCAATTAGGAAGGAATGAGGAAATGTTAATATTCTGTTTGTGTTGAAACTTTGCTGCTTTCATCCCCAGGAGAAAATGAAAGGACACTTCCCACTTGTGGGCTTGGGTCTAGTTTTAATCTTTGCTCTACCAAGCTGGAGCATCCGACATTTTGGATTTTTAAAACTTTTTGGCAAGAGAAGGCAGAGCTCAAAGTGAGCCTGTCAAAGGGGTTATTAATTGGTCAAGACAGTAACGAACTTGTCCTATGCATGAGCTGAGTGCTAAGCACCCCTACGAACAGGACAGCAGCTTATTCCCATGCATTTTGTTGTGTTAGTCTGTGCTTCTCCCCCTATTTCCAGGTGCTTCAAGAGCAGCTCCGTGCAGTTGCCAGCTTCCCTCCATGTGGTGCCCTGGCCCTCTTCAGCCTCCTCCTTCCCTCATCTCCAGGTCCCAGCTTCCGTGGGCTTGCTCTTTCCTTRCCTGCCAGATGCTGAGAGCATCGTGCACATAGTTCTGACACGTACCACACTCCTTGCCTTGAAACACGCAAAGAGGAAGGGCTGGTTTGGGCTTACACAAGCAAAACAAGTCCAGATTCCTTGGGGTAGAATAACTTGAGTTATTTTCCTCCCCCACAGTAAGTATTTCTCTAAACTTTTCATTGTTCTCAATAGGTTTTGGTCCTTTGAGTCAGTGGGCCAAGGATACTGGAAAGAAAGGTTTAGGAAGCAATGAAGCACTGAGGAGAAAACCTGGACTCAAACCAACCCTCCTTTTTAGGCAGGCTCAGTTTTTCTTGCTAATATATGGTAGGTGTGATGTCCTGAAAACCCTTCACCAGAGCACCACATGAAAGGGAGCTGGAGGCTGAATGCTTTTAAGACATTTACGTGGCCATAAGATACTACAACCTCTGAGATCTGTCTCTGCATTCTTCAGAAAGACGCACTTACACATAGCATGCTTCTCCCAAGGCTTGAACCAACCCAGGGCTGCTGCTCAGCCACTGTAAGCATCTCTTGCAAAAGTAGCACCCGAGAAACTGAGTGGCATGGTGACACTAAAGGGAAGAATTAAGAGTCTCTGACAGAAAAACCTACACAATTCTGGCTTATGATATCAATACTGATGACAGCAGACRAAATTGGTTTAGCAGGAACAAGGATTTAAAGTTATGTATTCGGTGAGCCCTGCATAGCTAGCTTTCAGAAATGTTGTGTTTTGTTAGTCAAATTTAGTCTTTTCTGCATAAAAAGAGGCAGGAAGTGCTTTTAGGAAGAGCAAAGCTGAGATTTTTCCATGGATTGTAGGAGTTCAGAGGGCTTTAAGAAAAATACAAACTACTGTAGTTATTGGTGGCACTGCATCATGCCTCCCTGCTCTGAGTGAGTCCATCTAGTTGAGGTGGTGGCTCCAGCAGACTTGAACTTGATGGGCTGTAGAAGGACCTATGATGACCCTGCATAAGAATGGGACTCTGGAAGGTTATTTACATTAAAAAATGTGTGTTTGCAGTGTTAGTTTGATGTTAGGCATCTRTAGAAATCTGCCAAAGATACTAATTGCCAGATCTTGTTCTATACTATAACTCAGTGCTTGAAGAACGGAGCTACTTACAATGAATGAACCCCTTAATTCTTAGGTAACATATTTGGCACATAATGCACCATGATAATATTTTTAAAGTATTTTAATATAGTTAAACACAGTAATGAGGAAAAAATAAACCTTTTTTTTTTCTTTTTTTTTTTTCTTTTCTTTTGTGTTCTCTTTTCATTTGAAGAGGTTGTTGCTTTTTCCTAACCACTTTCCCCCCAGAATGGATGATACCTGCTTGGGCATGTTTTGCTTGTTTGTTTTGTGCTGTTGTGTTTTCCCTTTGCTGAACACAACATAGATTTTCATATTTAATTACACAGGTTTTCATATATTTTCAGAGGCAATTCATTCTAGAAGAAGGATTTGGTGTTGTTTTGTCCAAGTATTTTCATGTCTTGGAGTAGAAAATTTAGATGAATTTCGCTGGGTAAATATGGCTCAATTTATTCTGCTTTCTGCTTTGGGAAGGCAGAGGGTTCCTGAGAGAGTCAATGGGACTCTCATATGGGCACAGAGACCACCCTCACTGAAGAGGGATGACAAGTGCCACAGGTCCCAGAGGTGCTGCTCTTAATCTGCCTTTCAGACACTTCGCCGTCTTAGGAAGCATTGGAGGCATCCAAGAAACACTGTTTTAGGGAATACCAAAAGTCGGTGTCATGTAACTCCTGCAGACTCTAGGCAAAACTAGGGATGTGTTTTTAGCCCCTGTACTTGCACTGAAATCTTCTCTGGTGTGATTCCTTTGAGATAACCTGTATGACTCAAGTGCAGGAAACTGGTTCAAAGGTGGAGAGACATGTTGCCATTTTAAGACTGATCCTTACTGAAATCCTCTGCAATATGTTTCTCTATAGATGAGCTCTTGATTCACCCTTGAGCTCAGAATTAAGCTCATGCTGCAAATGGGACCTAGAGAATATTACTATTAGTGCAGTGTATGACACTAAGTGTTTCAGAATGTATTGATATATATTTTTATAGGGATGGCTGTCATACTTGGTGGACCATATTCTTAAACTCCATTTAATGTTCTGCTGAAAACTTACATACATTTTCTCTGTCATAATTCTGTAATAGTATTTCAAACAATCTGATCTGTACCTCAGACTGTTCTGCCAATTTAATAAACAGCAGATTGTAATCTCAAAAACCTCCCAGTTGCCCCTCTTAGTTGTTTTATTGATGTMCCTTGAATAAAAAGGTGCAGTATAGAAGTTCCTCAGATGAATTTTACACTTTATTTATTGGGCTTCCTTGTTACCTCTTATTCTCATGGTCCTTATGACTTTCACAGAGATGGATTATGTTCTTCAGGCTCTCAAACCAGAAGTTAGGAGAGTAGCAGGGAATTACAGCTTTCCGTTCAAAAAGAAAGAGAAAAAAAGCCTGTAGATATGATAGAAAAAACTTTTAAACCCTAGAGACTTTACAGTCAATAAATAAATAAAAATATTTTCTTAGTTATGATTTTAGAGACTCATTACAGGATTTTTTTTTTTTTTTTTTTTTGAATATGGGAGATTGGTAGGATGAGGAGTCAAACTCCTGGATTTAGCAAATGTTCACTGCTAGAAAATATGAACATTCTATTGCTCTAAAATTAGTAAAATTCTGCTTTGTACAATAAAAGTCTTTTTGGGTTACAGAATTTATTACTACAAATTTTAACTAGATTCATTTATATGGGCACCCCACAGTGCATATGTCCTCAAAACTTCTAAAACTTCCTCTCAGAAGGACAGATTATGGCCAGATTTTACCTGCCAAGACAGTAAGCCAGCTATCTGAAGATATACTTACAATTGTAAAGGACCATGAATTTTTATATCTGAAAAGATTAGTTGCAGGCAGCTTAGGCAACGTGGTTTTAGAAACATAGTCTCAAGACTGCACGATTTATGTGCGGCAGACACGCTAATGCAATGCTGTAAAAATGCAGAGAATGTGAAGTCTAATTATTGTCATGTGAAATAATAAGGAATTTGCAAGAACGACTGACAAACAGGTACTGGGCTATCATAAAGTCACTATTCAAACAAAGATAAATGAAAATTCACACAAAAAAAACCCTTTATATGTCCTTGGGTAGAGGAAGAAATACAAGCTGGAAATAATTCAGATATATAATTTCTGATTTATGACCTGGGCTAATGATTAGGGTTTGCACTAAGACTTTGTTTATGGCTGAAGTGGTCCCTAGTTGGTTAGAAGGTGACAATCACAACAGGACAATACACAATCTCATGCAAAGAACTTTGTATTTCCTTTATATGCCTATAGTCTTTGGCTTCAAGCTGATGAATTAAGAGCTGATGAGTGTTGTGCTAAGCACCTTCACAAAGCAACCTCTTAATTACAACCCCACAAGGCTGTATGAATCTCTTTCATGGAAGGGGTGGTATTGAGAGCAGACTCTAGAGCCTGTTTGTGGGAGGTGAGGTCCTTATGAGCCTGAAGAGTCTCCAGAGTGAAGGTCATGGCTAGTGGGAGAAGCAGTCAGCAAAATTCCTTCTGCTTATCTTCATTTAGCCTCCAGGAACTGTCCTTGGCTGGCTCGCTGGTTGATAGATGCCTGTCTGGTGAAATTTATGTATCTTACGTACACCTTACACTGCAGTTCTTTGATACTCTTTGAGAAGAAATGGCCTTACATCTCCACCACCATCAGGATTCAATTAAAAACATGTTCCTGGTGTGCTCAGTCTTTGCAGAGAAGGCCACGTTGCTGACAGTTTCAAGCCAGCCATGATTGGCTGCCATATGTTTTAATTAATTTATTTCACAATTAATTACCTAATAATGATTGCATCTATAATCTTCTAGGGCAATACTGATCATGGTGATCTCAAGACCAAGTTCCCTGACTGTCCATTTAAGTTCCTTTGATAAACTATAGAGTCATTATA